AAAGGTAATATTTGTGTGGTGGTGCCTGGCGCAGAAGGCCTAAGATTACCTGACGCAGATCAACACTGAACGAAATCAACAACCAATCCACACACCTTGGGAGATCATACAACAATATTGTTGAGCTCAGAGAAGTAGCAGTAAGAAGACAAAGATGGAGACAATTTGTAGATAGCCTATGGCCAGTATAGAGGCAGCTTGAAATCATGTGACGCCAAGCAAGACTTAATAAGAAAATAATAATAGAGCTCACATAACCACATAAAAAAAAATAAATATTTGACATTTATTACAAAATATTTCTCAGTTTTTGAGATTGGTCCACTAGAACCTCCTCAATATGACCAAGTTTTCGTTTTTTTCGAAAATTATAAAAACTTTAACAGGAAAAATAATGAAATTTTAACCAGTGAGCCTGCGTAGTTATTCTGCACGCTCTATATTAAAATCTTTGTAGTATTTCTACATTGAAATTGTAAGCTGTACCATACAAAACTCTTTTTTTTACTAACTTTATAAAATATAACTTCATTGGGAAGGCTCAATTTAGTTCTGATACATTTCTTTCACCTTTGTAAAACAGAACTTTATTATGGAATTTGAATCTAGATCTTGGATACAGCAATTAATACATTCTTTTTAGATATTTAGTTGCTACCCAAAGCTTGTGCTATTCTATTAGTATTAAGACTGAAACTTTTCTTTCAGATTTCTTTTAATCAAGTAAAATGGTTTCTATTAGCCTGTGATTTACTTTTTCTTTAATAAATATTCTTGTTTTAGTAGAAATTAAAAGAATGTCTTGTGTACAAATCATTATTATTTATCATATAATAAAGAAGTAATCAGAGAAGAGAAGTAGAGAAGTAATCAACTTCGTATATAGAAGAAGTTAAATTTTCGACTATTTGAAGAGAATATACACGATTCTCCATGTGTATATCTTCACCTGATATTAGTGAAATATGATTGTTTAATTTATTGTTTATACATTAATCAAATAAAGCTATATTTGCAGTATATGGAAGAAAAAAAAGCTTTATATTTATTATAAATGAATGATCTGTACTAATTAGTTTATCGTTGTTAACAAAGTTCTCAATATCATGTGTTAAAGTGATTAAATTATACATGAAAAATGTCACACTGCATATGAATTAAACCGTTAAATTAAAAATCGAATTGCTCGCTAATAGTGTCAAAAGAGAGCAAAATAAGTATTGAAGATGAAGACGAGAACAAATTTACACAAGACTTGTTATAGAAAGTCCAAGCGAAACCTAGACCTTAAGTAGCACAAATGAAAGCGAATTGTAAATATTTACCCGAAAAGTGTTACAAAAAACTAAAAGTGTTGAAACTAAACTATATTTTAAAAAGAATTTATGAACAATCCAACATACTTAAAATTATGAAAACAGATAAACAAGGATTGGTAGGGCACTACCTACATTAAGACCGAAAAGTTTTCGGAAATTCTCATTTAAAATTCGCGCGCTGTATATTTTCCGATATTTTAAGTTTATGTAGTTTGGCAGCACTGTCCTTAATTACTATGCCAAAAATGAGCGCGATCTGTCAGACAGTTCGTTTACGGCAGCTGTTGAAACCAGTTCACCTCAGTAGGGCGTTGCGAAAAAAACAATGGAAAAAAATATTGAACAAAGAGTTTGCATCAAATTTTGTGTTTCGAACGAAATTTCGTGTGCAGAATCGTTGCGAATGCTACAAAAGGCTTATGGGGAATCAGTTTTATCGAAAACTCAAGTTTATGAGTGGTACAAAGCCTTCCAGGACGGTCGTACGACCGTCGAAGACATTTCGCAACGCACTACTGAGGTGAACTGGTTTCAACAGCTGCCGTAAACGAACTGTCTGACAGATCGAGCTCATTTTTGGCATAGTAATTAAGGACAGTGCTGCCAAACTACATAAACTTAAAATATCGAAAAATATACAGCGCGCGAATTTTAAATGAGAATTTCCGAAAACTTTTCAGTCTTAATGTATATTATTATTTTTATAATTTATTTTAAATGATCTATATATCACTAAAAAAAGGAGTAAAACTAAGGTGTCTGCGAAACATGACCATAAGATTAATTGTCAAAGTTAATCAATATTCAATAGAATTAGAAATACTATGTCAAAGAATGCAAGCTCGAATTTAGCTTGAAGGACTCATATAGGTTTATATCCGCAATGATATGAATGGTAAAAATGTTATACATATTATACTGAAATTGGAATGGAATAATGGAATAAAAATTATTTTAACGTAACTGTTTTCAAAGCATTTATAACATTCAGCTAGTCATGAACTTACATATGTAGATAGTTTGGCTAAACAGACTAAACTTTAATTAACACATGAAGTTAACATAATGTTTACACATATAAACCAGTGTCACTTCTGGTTTTCGTTTTCCACGTAAAAAGAAAGAGTTTAATTTCGCAGAATATAGAAATTAACTAACCTTTTCTAGACATTACCGTGAATACTCGTACAATATAATATAAACGTTCCTTTGTTATCTTTGCATAAATACTTTTATATTGTACACAAATTTTATCATTTTAAAAAGGTCTGTACTCCAGTTTCTGGAAATAAGTACTGTTGTCATATTGTAGCACACATTTTTTTTTTCAAGCTAAGCTCTGAGATAGGGTTCGTTCTGATTCGTGGGATTACACGTTAGTTTTGCAATTATGAAAATTAAACAGAGAAACATTCCACATATATACCATGGGTCAAGTAATAAATTGCATATAAAAAAAACTAGTCTGTCAATATATGGAAGTAGAGTACCCGCATTTTGGGAAAATTTTAAAATATACAGAAGAATTTTTACGGTTTAACAATTTGTCCAACGTAATGTAGACAATAAACCTGAACTCAATTATTTTTTATTTAGGTTGGTGAACACAATGAACTCATTAACTATTGCTATAGATCGTAAGTAATGCTAAGATAGTAACTTAATATTGCTGAAAAAAATTCGTATATTACAAAAGTGCAAAAATTAACGCAATTAATTCAAATGAAATTAAAAAAAAATGTGTAAAAATGAAATTTAAAATTTTAACAATATAGCCTTTTAAATGTTTCTTTTATTTTTAATAAAATTTCTTATTTATATTTTTCAAATATAATATGGAAAACTTCAAAAAATTACATTTTTTGAACGAAATTAGATAATAATTATAAACCAAGGAAGTAAGTTTTCGTTTACTTCTATGGACTTCTATTTAAATTGAACTTTAAGCTTAAAGATTTAATGTTCTTATGTGGATTGTCTCAACAAATGCGCTATATTTCTTTACATACTACCCATTTTTCAATTTCCAATAAGTTAAAAAGAAGGTACTATTAGAAAGATAAACGAAAAAACCTTGTAGCCTTGGCTACTTGTGGAAGAACACAATTAGTTAAAGCAACTAATTTGACAGGCACAAGTTCTAAGCCTGGCACTTGCAGTATAAACAAATTATATATGAACTATAAACTAATCAAAAAATACGAATATTTTTAAGATCACTAATGATAAGCACTTGGCAATACTCGACACAGCGTTGTAAGATCAACCAAACTTCAATAAATTAATTAAACAATTTTGTTGTTGTCTTTTCATTTCTATTCAAACCCTTCTAACTTTTAAATAGTTTATTTTTGTCATAAGATGCGTACCTTTCGACAAGAAAAAAAAAAACATTAGAATAAACTTTTTTTCTAACATCGATTTAAGATATATTTTTTAAACTCTTAAGTATTTTGTATATTATACGAGAAAACTCAAATCTCTTTCTTTTCGCTCTCAAACTAACTAATCTTCTTTAAATTGTTTTGTTATATAAATTTGTCTGCATACAGAAAAGATGGATAGAAAATCTTTAAGCACTTTTCATAAATATTATGTTAACGGACGTTTATCCTTTTATATACCATATTATTTATCGCCATTCTTTGTTAGCTGTTCCTTGTATTTATCTTCTCTATGTTGAGGCTAGTTGAGTTGAGTCAGTGCACCTGAGCACTTTTACTCTCTATTAACTGCGAGGTTTCTACAAAACCCCTCTTTGCGCCTTGACTGGATTATTGTTTATCACTTCATTAGACTAAGCAATAATTGACCTCAGATCTGCATATCTCCCCGAGGAGCTTGTAACCATTCTGAGATTTGATAACGCAGTGTTAGTAAGTCTGTCAGATTTCGCAAATTATTTCAGGGCTCTATCCTTTATGTATTTTTTTGATGGGATCAATCTTGAGGTCCCTGAGGATGTCATTCGTCCTAATGACTTCCATTTGAATCAAATATCACACTAGTTATTCACTTTGTACTTGTACTTCTAATATATATATTAAGTAGTTTAGAAATCTTTAACATTAGAACTTCACTTCTTATTTTAACTGAAATAAAAACATATTCAGAATCTTAAGTCTTTGGTATTTAAAATTTCAGGCCCTCAATACTTAGTTCTGTTTCTAGCTGTATTTAAACATGTGAAGACCATGTATTTTTTTGATTTTCATAGTAGAGTCTAAAGAAATGTTGATCATCTACACCTATTTATTTAGATGCTTTTTGAGTTAACAGGTACATGTCCTCAGTTCAGTTAAAATTTTTATATCTTTTTTGTAGAAGTTAAAAAAAAGTTTCTACCCTGATTCGTTTCGGATTACTTAGACTCTTTAACTGCCGTGTATCATCCAATCAAGCTATCCAATCAAAGTTCTTCCCATTCACGAGTCATGTTATTTTTGAAATTTTAGTAAACTATGTAGAATAATTTGAAGCCTTAAAAATGCAAAACACAATTTAAAAGAAGAAAAAATATATATAAAAATGTTTCAAATATGTTAGTTTAAGATCAGAATTCTAAATGCTACTAATACTAATTGTAGTGTATTATTTATACAATATATATGTTTATATATACACATATAAATCCGAAAATAGGAATGTATTAAAAAATTATTTTTAATATTTTTATTTCAGAATGGAAATTCAAACAGTTAATAACCACATAAATAATTCGCTTATTCTACCTTCATTAATTCCACCAGAATCGAATCATTCACTTAACAGCAGCATCACTCCACATAGTCGCAGTAATAGTCCGGCCAGTTCTAATTCTGAAATTGAAAAAGATTTTCAAGATCTAGATTTGACCTCTAGTAATAATCAAACTTTAGGTGGAGATCTCAACAATTGTAGCAAATCAAATGGATCACTTAGTGGCGCATCTTCATCCTCAGCAAATACAAGCAACATAATTAGCAATGGAAATACCCCGAATACAACAGCGCAAGTTAAAAAGCGCATATCAAGCAGTCGGACATCAACGCGTAAAGCGAGACGAATAAAATTTTATCGTAACGGTGATAGATTTTATTCCGGAATAACCATTCCAGTATCAAACGAGAGATATAGGTAAAAGTATAATATAAAGTTGCATTTTTAAATTAATTTTATTTATGTACATTTCATCAATAGATCTTTCGAAAGTTTGTTTGAAGATATAACAAGACTTTTAGAGGACAACGTTAAGATACCAGGAGCTGTACGTACAATATATACAATGTGCGGCAAAAAAGTAAGTCTTGAATCTGAAAACAAAACTTTCCTTATCGTTACATTACAAATATACATACATATATTTTTTAAGGTAACCAGCTTAGAAGAACTTGAAGATGGTCAGAGTTACGTTTGTTCCTGCAATAATGAAAATTTTAAGAAAGTCGAATATAATACATCCTCTCAACCCTTATCAATTTTGGCTTTAACTAATAAAGCAAATAACCGTCTCTCAAAAATGTATCGACCTTTATCACCATTAAAAAACGGTACCGCTTTAGGATCTAACGGCAGTCCGATGCTAACGAAATCAATTGAATTGGATAACATTGTATTTCCACGTATTGTTACATTAATAAGAAATGGCACAAAGCCACGTAAGGTACGGTTACCTAATAACCTTCTAAGTTCTTCCATATTTTACATATTTACGTGATTGTAATTTTTTTATTCAGATCATGCGACTACTTCTTAACAAACGCAACAGTCCAACGTTCGATCATGTAGTTCAGTCGATAACACAAGTTGTTAAACTTGATACTGGATATGTGCGTAAAGTATTTACACTTTCTGGAACACCAGTACTTCAACTAGCTGATTTCTTTGGGGAAGATGACATCTTTTTTGCTTATGGTACAGAACGCGTTAATAATTCTGATGATTTTAAACTTGAATCTGATGAGCATAAAGCTATCCAAGCAATTCGCAAAACGTTACGTACGGCCGGCACAGCATATCAGGGTCCTAAACCGAAAATGCCTACTAAAAGTAAAAACACAAAGCCTGTACCAATTGATCCTAAATTAGAAGACGAGGAATCAACACTTAATAATATCGGAATCGATGCATCCGAATTGCCAGCAGCGATACGTGAGAATTATGTGCTTGGACAAATTATCGGTGATGGAAACTTTGCTATTGTGGTAAAAATTAAAGAACGCAAAAGTAGACTGCCTTATGCACTTAAAATTATCGATAAAAGTAAATGTCAAGGGAAAGAACATTATATTGATGCAGAAGTACGTGTCATGAAAAAGTTGCAGCATCCACATATTATTTCATTGTTAATGGAAGTAGACCAACCTGCAATTATGTATTTAGTGGTGGATTATGTAAGTGGTAAGTATGTCTAAATAAATTTTAAAAATATATAATTTTTTAAATTTAACTTTAAACTTTAATATCTCGAGAAGTGAGTTATATCGGCATAAAGCATAGTGAAAAAAGTTACTCAAAATAGCTATCTTTACTAAAATCCATTGTTAAATTGGCGTTCTTAGGAAATCGGAATCGCGCTATAAGGAAGAGATACTATGGTATTACGAATAATTAATAATTTTTGTACTGATTTTCTCAACTTATCATAATATACATAAATTTTTAACTACTAAGAAAACTTTCAATTTTTATTCAACATGCAATGTTTAAGAGACAATAAAATTATGTGATAAGAATATGACCTTGTATAAAAATGGTACACTACTTCGATATATGAATAAAAAAATTTGAATGGATCTCATATTGTACTTTATATTTATATTAATCGTATATGTTTTCATACTGTTTATATAAAGAGTAATCCATAAGATGATATACTCTATTATGAAACATGTAACAACTGGAATAGAAATGATTTCTCACTTCGAAAAAGAGAATAAAGAATAACTTAAGAATTATTACGAGATTACTAACCCGTAACTGTAGATTCAATAATCATCCAACAAAGTCAGGAACTCAATCTCACTCATACTACAGATACTGTAGGGAAGAGAAAGAAAACACATATTATGTGCTAGATGAGTGCCCTGCACTGATTCAAAAGCTAAAAAAATACCCAGGAGGATATTTCATAAAACAAAGGAATTCGAGACTAGGAAAAATAGGCCCTATATTCTCTTTCATTAAAGATAACGATAACTCTAATCCGACTAAGGGGCACAATAGATCTTTTAGATCGCCGTATACTATTCCTTTTTCGTAATAATAATAAGGCTCTTCACTTGCTACAAACAAAATGCGGAAACTGTGAAAAAACCATTGCATTTATATAGAGTGCCATATATTGAGAATAAAGAAGATGTAATATAAAGCATCAATTCTCAGCAACACAGTCACATGATTTCCAATTTTTTGGCATTAAATTAAAGATATGAAGGTATAAAGAAGAATTCATAGAAAATAACATTAGAGGATCCAGTACTATATAATACTATATCCTGAGGAGAGAATTAATGTTTTATACCTTATGGGGAGGTCATAAAGATTTGAACAAAATCACAATCACAAAAACTTTTTATTTACATTCACTATCGTATCACAAAATGTAAAGCCCAATATACTCGTATAGCATAGTTCTTATCAAGTTTCACCTATGCTTTACTGTTGTTGTCATAGATTAACACAAGTAATCACAAGTATGTTGCTTAATTAGAAGTAAATCAAACAAAATAAACGGGATGTTTCCTCTTCATTGAACTCGGTATGCAGTTGAGTATTATTTGATATGTTCCATTGTGTACTTTATCGATATAAGCATTTATATTTAAAGTTCAGATAAACATCAAAATTATTCTGATTAAACAAACAACTGCTTTTCAATAGAATTTCTTAAAATATAATTCGGGTTATGGGTTATTTTTCCAATATTATTGCTTTAGTTAGTATACTTTCTTTTGTTAATGGATTATGAGAAAAACAAATTATTACTATTAGAAGAATCTTCTCTTATATCTAGACTTATTTTTTTTTTTCAATATAATGATTTGACTAAATAATATTTTTTTTACAGGTGGCGACCTTTTCGATGCTATTACACGTGTTACCCGTTTTTCAGAGGATCAATCCCGTGTTATGATCAGACATTTGGCTTCTGCACTAGCATATTTACATTCCATGAGTATTGTTCACCGTGATATCAAACCAGAAAACCTCTTGGTAACTATTATTTTTGAACAATATAATTATATATAAATCACATTTTTATGTCTAATACACTAGATAAAAAGGTTGTCTAAGTTTATTCTTCTTTTTATGATTTGCACTTGCTCAGTAAATTTTCCTACATTGTTAACTGATAAAATCTTTAATATCTTTATTTCAAATATCTCTTATAATAAAGATACAATTTTTTTTGTTTTAGTGTCACTTCATTTTTAGCTGTTAGTTCAATCGTTTCATTCGTAATAAGTTACAAAGATTTTCGAAACGTTCTCAGAAGAAATCCAAAAAACTGATTTTTTGTTTGAAATTGACTGTTAAATATTTTTAAATGAAACAAAATTTGCTTTGATGAATTGATATAGAATATTTATAAACTACTTCAATATTCACCAATTTGTGACTGGTGGCACCATATAACTATTGAAATGATATTAGTAGATGATAGATGCTTATAGCATTCCGTCGCGCAGAAGATAAGTCTTAGAACGTAAGAAGTACTACTTTTGTGGTACTATGTAGTAAAACCTTAACAAAAGAAATTTTAGTTGAAGAAATCTATATCTATATTCTATTTCTACTGACTCCTACATAGTGTAGACATTTGAGTAAAGGAGAACTTACAGTAGATAAACGCCTTATAATGAATGCCTGACATGGACAGCGCAAATAAGCTGTTATTTTCTCTTACTACTTTAACCCACAGCTGCGACAGTTGTCATTGAAAGGACTCCTTTTCAATATTCACACGGAAATATGGTTCATGCGATACAATCTACTGCTTGATGATCTTGTTTAGGAGATGTGCTTTTTTAAGCTTTACTTAAAAGTGTTCAATATTTGAGCTAAGATAGTAACAGTTGAAAACTGCAAGTCTGAAGTTTTGACTAATTTGAATACTACAGCAACACGACCTGTATAGAATAAAGATTCAAATTATCGTAAAAAATTGCTGATGATTTGTATATTACTGTGATATTATGTCACGGATAATAGTTTTTATAGAAAAAATGTTATTTTTCGTTTGGAATTTTCTAATTTGATATTTGAATTATAAAAGTTATATTCTAGAGTAAAATATCATTGATATCATTGATTGATACATAATATCTTATACTATAATTTGTTAATTTATTATCATATTTTCTTAAAATAATTGTTAACAGTACTTACAAAATTATACGCCTTTCCTTAAAATCGAAAAGTGTAGGAATTAGATTATTAGCGGTTTATAAAATAGGCTGTGTTGCTTCCTGACATTTTTTCTCCAAAACGTATTGAAATTGTAGTAATTTGTTCCTAAAAAGCGCAAATTCTGACATTTCTTACTGAACAATATTGCTTTGCGTTAGTGCCGAGGCACGGAGAGCCCGGCTCTCATGCCGAAATTCGAACCGACATATTGTTTTTTCTTTAAATCTCAAAAATAACCACTTATTGTAAACAATAATTAATAACCAAAGATTTAAGATTTTTATAAAAAATAATATAATATTATATATAACTATTTATTTATTTATTTTTTTTTGCTTAAATAAAGGTTGAACTGGATGATATAGGTAACGTTACTCAGCTTAAACTAGCTGACTTCGGACTCGCTTGTGAAGTTACCGAGCCTCTTTATGCTGTTTGCGGTACGCCAACATATGTTGCACCAGAAATTTTAATGGAAACTGGTTATGGCTTAAAGGTATATTTTTACCTTAATTTATATAAATAAATCATTTTTATTTTTTCAAATTATTTTTATTAATTTCCAAAACTTTTAATCCAAATAAATTGAAATTACTGGAACTATAGTGTGTAATATCCAGCGACAGCACTATATTAAACCGTAACTTAAAAGTGTTAGTAAAACCTTTCACTAAAATCAGTTTACACTTTGTATTAATATATTTGCTTACTGTTGCAATTTGTCGAAAGTCTCTATCAATACTGGGGCAACTACTTCCAAGTTCCAAGTTGGCAAAAAATATTTTTTCTACAATACAATTAGATCCTTTCCTTTAGCTTAGCTTTGGAATGCTCTAGCTTTTTTTTTAAGCATAAAACTATAAAAGAATGTGTCGCAAGCATTCACGAAATCAAGGTACACCGATGTGCAGTGATAACGTTATATATACCATTACACCTCACAGAGGTGGCGTTCCAATGGTCAAAAATTAAATCAATGCCAGCCATGAGGAGTAATAAAAAATCTAAGATGGTCTGGACTCACTTATATGTGAAAAGAGCATGTTAAGGTACAAGTTTACCATATACACCTGTTTGGTTCGCAATTCACGCGAACAATGGACCGTTGATCAAAGCGGTGAACGACTTTTGGTTTTTGAAATTCGAGATTATTATTATTATTATTTATTTATTATATGTTATCTGTTACATTTATATATAATTTCGTGAAATAATATATTTACTTTTTACAGATTGATGTCTGGGCTGCGGGCATTATACTTTATATATTACTGTGTGGGTTTCCTCCATTCGTTTCACCTGATAATGAACAGGAACCACTTTTCGATGCTATTATATCAGGTGTCTACGAGTTTCCTGATCCTTACTGGTCTGACATATGTGATGGTGTAAGAGATTTGATAGCAAACATGTTACAATCCGATCCTGATGTACGGTTCACAAGCGAAGACATCTTGGATCATTACTGGACTATGGGTGAAAGCAGTTGAACTATTATTTTTACAACAAATAACACACATGAAAGATTCATACTTATTGTTAAAGTTTATATCTTTAGTTTTAAGTAAAAAAGATTATGACTTTTACAATTTTAATTGCTGATGAAAAAATCGATTATATACATATATGTTAATATACATATGTATATACATACATATTAACATACATATGTATTAATATATACATGTATATACATATATTTTAACATACATATGTATATACATATATATTAACATACAATTGTGTATACATGTATTAACATACATATGTATTTATATATACATATATGAGCAAAAGTGAACATTTATAGAAACTAATAACAAAATCGTATTGTAAAGATTGAAAGCGTAATTTACGCAAATCGCTATAGTTTTCCATAGTTTGTTAAATTTATTTTAAATGTTTCAATTTTTAACAGAAACACCAAATTCAACAAAAGCAACTTTAAGCTATGTATATTTTTTATATAAATATTTTTAGATATTTTATTGCATATTTTTAATTTATATTTGTTTGTAAAATTTTTTATTTGTTTTTACGCTGCTTTTATTAATGTATTATTACTATATAAGCTTATAGATGTGTTATTACACAATTTAAATAAATCTAATTTAAATATTACATTCTTTTTCTTCGACAAAGGCATTAGCTTTAAATGTGTCTACACATATACAAAAAATGAGAATTGAGGAATTTTTTCAATATGTAAAATTAAAAATCGTTTAATATTTTTATATACATATGTATATTAAAATTATTCATAAAGCATTTATTGAGTTTCAAAGAGAGTGTATGTATAAATTTCGATTTTCAATAATGTTGCGAATTGTATGTTTTTGTTATTAAATTTTTTATTATTAAATTTTTTTTATTATTTAATATTTTTATTATTTAAATATATAAATTATATGTAATTAAAATATTTAATTGTATGTACACGAATATTTTATAAATTTAACGAAGCAACTATTTGTGCATTTCCAAATTATATAAACGAAATTGTTAACAGCAATCGTCTCAGTGCTTTTGTAGAGTTCAATGAATGCGTTCAGTTTCGTTAAGTTCAAGTAAAATCTTGAACTAATGTTTTTTTAAAAGACAACACCAATCAAATTCACCTGTACTGCTTAGCAAAAGCACACTCCACGTCTGCATTACCACACGTATATATATATTTTTAATAGTTTTAATTTTTATATTTAATTTGAGTTTCAAGAAGTTGTAACTTAAAAACATAAAAACAAACAAACAAATAAATTTAGATGATGAAAGCAATTTTACACTTCGCTAGATCGCTATCTTAACTCATTACGAAATGAGGATAGTCTAAAAATTTAATAGTATATTACTCTCAACACTTTTGCGGATAAAATGTATTTAATAAAGAAGTTGTGAATTAAAATTAATGAAATAACAATGAAATAAAAATATCTTTCTATTTCATACTAAATTTTTTAAACTACAATTTGACTTTTATATGTCCCATTATTTATTTTCGAGGACATAATATTGGTTAATCAAGTGTATGGATAAAATTTTATTATATCTAAAAAATACTATAACATTTTAAAAAAGTTACTAAAATCGTGTAAAATTGCTTTGAAATTTTATTTAAAATTATTTGTTTTATACAATCAAGAAACTAAAATATAATACCTATAAACATAAACACTAATTAAAAAAAATAATACTACGTAATATAAAAAAACAACGATACATTATATAAGTATATATCGCGGAGTACGTTCATACCATGGAATTAGAGTCAATAAGTTTTATATAAAGTCTGTTTTTGATGTAGACTATTATTTAATAACTATATATGTACTTGTATACAGAAATATATGCTTTTAAGTGTTCTGTGAAGGCAAACAAAAAAACATAGATATATTATGTATATAAACGAATACATATTTATATATACATAATATTTATCATTTTTTGGCATGTATATACATATTTTATAGTATAACATATTTATAATATAATATATAATATAATATATTATATAATATAATATATATATATATATATATATATATTTATATACTCCTACATGGATTACTAAATAGATTTGTGTGAGTACAGTTATGTGCAAAATATCTAAATTATATATATTTGTGTGATTATATACTTAAATATTTATATAAATCTACAAATTTTTAAATAATGTGTTAACTTTTAAAAGATATTTAGATGCAAAAATGACAAATGAATGAGTTAAAATGATATAAAAATTGTCTTGTAACATATCTATTATAATCATAAAATGCAGAGTTTTACAAATATTTTAAAATGATCTTAGAATTTCGTTCTCTGCATAGATTTATGAAGTATACCAAGTCGGTTAAATTGTTTAAGTCTTACTTGAAACCCATACTGTAAACGTACGCCTGCAGATATATATATATATAAATAAAATATAGAAAGCTTAATTTTAATATGTTAAAATTATTTATGTTTTCATACTTTTAAATGAATTTTGTTTACTTTTAGTAATACACAAAATATAAAATAGTTTAAATAAACATTTAAAAGAAAAAAATTTTACGATACTATTTATAAACAAAAGTAGACACTTAAAAAATTCTATAAATTCACCATTATAAAAGTTAAAATAATCTATTAGAAATGAAGTAAAATATAATACATGTATAAATAATACAAAAACAGCAACAACAATTACAATAATTAATATTTATAAATATTATTTGAATTAAGTATTTGATTTTTACATAAAAGACAACTGCTACATTTACTATTAAAAATTATAATAAATAAAATTTGTTTGATTTATTTACAACTTGAGAAATAGAAATCTACCAATTTTTAAGATGACTGGTTTTGGAAGATTAATGTTATCACATTAATTTTTGCATCAGGCCACACTGGGCGAATATCATAGGTTGAAAATTTATATTCAAAAAATGTATTTTCTTGTTGGTATGTAAAAAAAAAGTAGTCGACCACACTTGGCGGATATCAGCTTAGAACTTAAAAAACAGAAATCTACGGTAACTAGAAATTTGTAACTGTGATGAAACGAATTTATATAAAAATGTTCTAAAGACAAACTATCTTTGTTGGTCCAGAAACTGCATAATAGTTTCAGATATTTTTTACAGTGTTTTTTGGGGTATTGGTCGGCTGCATAGCTTCTACTGGAACCATGATATATATTATTGATATACTTGATTTAATGAAATATGTGTTTTTCAAATACAATTTTAAATGTTCAAATATGTTTCCGATATAAGTAAGATGTCAATGTTATTTTGCATCAAAGACCAGATTACTTCGAAGTTTGAGCCGTTTGCACTCCAATGGCACGATGGGAATCCCATCATGGGATTGCATTCATTTAAATCCCAGTAACTCAGCAATTAGAGTTTTATATTTAATTATAATTCTTTATGTTTTTAATGAAATGAATAAATGTTTTATATATTTTTGGGTAAAACATGCCAACATTGCTTTACAGCCAAAAAATAACCATCAACTATAGAGGCGATTGTAAGATTTGCATATGTTATTTGCTGGTTGGTCTTTTGAAGGTGTTCATTTTCTGCGTAAACGGAAGTCTATATTTTAACTCATCACAATTTAAGAACATTTTAACAGCTGAATTGTACTTTCAGTACGAACTTCTGTCTTTAAACGCTTCTTGAGTTTTCTCAGTATTGACTTTTACTACTTGAGTTGAGTTTTCTGTTAAGACAATTTACATGTTAATTGGAATCAATTTAGTCGGAGACGTAAATAAACACATTCCATTTGAAACACATTTATATAAAAATACAAATTAAAGGTTTTTGAACCATGTTATGTCCATTTAAACACGAGCTTTATATCTGTCACATTAACACAAGGGTTGCCTTTTCATAAGTTTTCCACATGCAGATAAGTTTACTGCTATTATCAGAAATTTACCTTCGGTGCATTTTACGTGGTCTGAAGCAAATTTGATAGTCTGGCTATCAAATTTACCGCCTTAGCGGTAAAGTTAGGACAATGTGGTAGAAATAATCAAACCGTAATAATGGAATCATTTTGACGTATAATTACTAATGTGTTATTATTTTCAGTTTTTGAGTCATCTGAGTACTATAGAATCCAGTTGTTTTTCATGTAAAATATAAAATAAATATATAAAATATATTATTAAATATATATAATATATCAGAATAGACCATACTTGCAATTGTTAAAAATAATAACGCAAGAATATAAACATAAAATATAATATATATATGGGTATATATATAATATAGACCATACGGTCTATTCTGATTATTTCTATTTCATTACACAGCAATTTATGTTTAAACTGATTCTCTGTTAAAAATATTTTGTTTATATTCTGATTATATAAATATTGTTCGATTTTTAAAATTAATAACGTTAACTGCTTTTTATTTTATATGCTCCACCTGCCGTCACAAAACTTCACTTATAAGCTGTCAAGCACAGCTGACTATGATTAATGTCTTCTTTTTGCAAGTATTGTTTGGGCTGCAAATAATTATTTGCTTCAAATTATTATTCTTCAAAAAAATTTCAATACTGGAGCTTTAAATAACGAGGACCTATTTTAGTTGTTCCTGAATATAATGGCGGAAAAGGAGAAAGAAAATGAGAATGCGAATAGCGTAAATAACAAGTTTTTACATTAAATAATAGCTTTTACATTAATATAAATTTTGATATGCTTTTGTAATAGGATGCAGACTCAAATAGCATAGAAGAAGAAGCGGAACCGAAGTTTAAATATAAAAGACTTGAGAATAATGTGAAGGAAATATTAAATAAAGATGTTGTTACATGTTGTGCAGTACACTCAAAGGTTAATCATAAATCCATAATAATATATAACAGAAACAACGAATTGTTTACGAAATTTTGTTTTTCGATTTTGTAGTTTCTGATATTTGGTACTTTTTTGGGACGTGTCTATTTGTTAGATCACAAAGGATACGCTGTTAAATCCAATCTTACAGATGGTGTAACTAATTTTACTCATACCGTAGCTGTGAATCATATTGATGTTGATGTAAAAGGCAGCTATGTGGCATCCTGCTCCGATGATGGCCTGGTAAATATTTATTATAATTTTAAAAATTCTATATAAACTATTCTACATACTTTTTTATATTATGTCAATTGATCTCACTCCACAGTAGTTATATTAGCGATATATCTATAATATAAATAACATAAAGTTTTAATAAGAAAATCAAATAATATCGAATAAAATATAAAGTGATGCTTATTGGGATTTTACTGACACTAAATTAATAAAATTTTGTATATAAATTATTGACCTATGAAATCAAACCTTTTAGTTCTGTTCATAAGAATGTTGCAAATACTGATGGATTTATTTGCAATTCTTTTAAGCAAATACAACTTTTCTGCAATATAGTTATTTAAATTTAATACTTTTTAAAACGCTTTAATTTAAGATATTTGTTTACTTTTGCAGGTTCGCATAACTGGCCTTTTTAGCGATGAGAATAATTATGACTTAAATATTGGCAAATCAATAAAAGCCGTAGCTTTAGATCCAGATCCAAAGTCAGCTGCTATAAAAAGATTTATTATTGGTATATTTTTTAAATAAATTATTAATTCAATTAATTTTTTGTGAACTTTAAAGGTGATGACAAGCTGACGCTATACGAAAGAAACTTTCTAAAGAAACTAAAATCAACTGTGCTAAGTACAGCGGAAGGATACGTACTTGCGGTGTGTTGGAGTGGTAATTTTGTAGCTTGGGCCAGTTACGTAGGTGTACATGTTTACGATTTAAATGAAAAGTGTTCACTAGGTTTAATGAAGTGGGAGCAACCAATAAAGTAAGTGAAATTTATATAACAAATCTAATGAGATTTGAATATTTATTTTACTTATGGTAGTGCTCGGCTGGAGAATTTTCGTTGCAATTTTCGCTGGGCAAACTCAACTACATTACTTATTGGTTGGGTCGATACAATACGCGTATGTGTCATACGTAAACGAAATGCAATTGACGCTATATCCAGAGTATTGCCAGTATTTATTGTTGATCCTAGTGCGTAATACCACAATAAGTTCTAATAATATTTAAGTTTAAATATCGTACATTTTAGTTTCAACAATTCCAACAACATTTTATATATGTGGCCTAGCTCCTTTATCAAAGGAACAATTAGTTGTGCTAGGTTATCCCAAAGAAAAGGATGCTAACCGTAAAGCATTGCGTCCAGTATTATGTGTAATGGACTATAAAAAAAATAATAGTGGAGAAATGTGTACGGATAGCCTATCGTTACGTGGGTACGCAATAATACTAGTGTTATTAAATATTTTTAATTAAATTCTTACTTATCTTCCTTGTAGCTATCAAGAATACACGGTTAATGATTATAGTTTAAGTTGTTTATTAGAAGAAAATCGTTTTATTATTGTTGCACCAAAGGATATCGTTGTAGCTAGCCCTTACGATACGGATGATCGTGTGCAATGGCTGATTGAACATCGGTAAGTGCAATAAATTTAATTTAACATTATATATATATACATATTTATATGTATACTTAAATATATATATATTTATATGCATAATTTTATATATATATATATATATTCTATTTTAAAAATGTTAAAAAATGGACAATTACAAATTAAATTCAAAATTTTTTAGTTCAAAGTTTGTTAATTCTTCGTCGACCAAAAGACCTATGTTACTTAAATCAATAACCAACAACTATAGTTGTATACAACTATAGGAATACTGAAAGAGTTGTTCAATAACATACAATATATAATATATTGACAATTGGATTTTTTTTTTAAAACAATAATATCTTACGATTTATTTTTTTAAAAGAGCACAGTGATACGTCAATGAAGAACGTACATCTTTAATATCTGATATGTGTTAATAGAAAACATAGCTTTCATTTCCCACACCAGCCAAGTGTACGTCTGACTTTCGTTTCAAAAATTGTTAAAATCCCTTCAGGATATAAGTAGCATCAATTATCATTAATATATTATAAATAATTGTCTGATAATAAATAGTCTATAGAACATAAATTACAGCAGTTACAATTCCTAACGAGTAATTTGCGAAATATTTTATAGTATCAAAGCGACCATTAGATTGCAACTAATTTTATAACTGATTACTTTTCAGTTTATGAGAACAATGCAAAGTAAATACTGAAGTCTATTTGAAATAATAAAAGTATTGAAAACCTAGGCAGTAAAATTTAAACGAGGACTACCGCATACATTTTGATTACAATTTAGATGCAACTTGTGCAGTTTCATAGTACGTATATTCTGACAAGCAAACATTATTACATTTGAATTGAAAATAATAAGAAGCGAAGATTATCATTTGATATGCACATCTGATTTTAAATTCTATTATAAGAATTATTGTTATATTCAATACATATTAATATACTTTTAAAAAATTGATAAACAAACTGACATCTGCTGATATTATGTGAGATTTCTGTTAATTATATTTTGTGTATTATTAAAAATATTTAATAATTGTTTTCCCATACTTCCTTTTAGTAGCCTAACTTCTAACATATTTGCCACACATTTCTAATTCGATCTGCTATAAGGCGTAGTTCACTAAACGGTTTAAAGTTTAAGTAAGAAAAATAATTACATGGCTCCATGTTGTTCACGACGTCTTAAACCTTGTAAATCAAAGGTAAATATCACTTAAAATAGATTATCCTTGGTCACACATAATGCAAGCCCAATCTAAATGTGGTTTTGCCTTATTACTTTATTGTTGATATTTTTTGATTGATAATTTTCTATAGATCATCATTAGATATTGTTCAAGCCACCATATTTACAGCAAATTTTATAAACCAATCATAGGAATATTTAAACATTTCATTTAAAGAATAGTTAAGGTCTTGGATTTTATTTCTAAACAATTATATTAAATTTAAAATTTTAAGTATCTTTAATAGATCGTATTAATCTCAGTGGTCTTTTTAATTATCTATACAAAATTATTCTTATTTATATATAAATAAATTCCTTTAACTCCTGGAGGAGCATAGGACCGCAGGGAATTCTTATTTACCCATATGTAAAATGATTTGCTATATGAAATCGGCATTTCACTAGTCAATCGACTTCCTATTATTAAATAAAATAAGCTAAACCCAAAATTAACTATATTACTTTGTTATACTTACACGCTATAAATACTTTTAAATAAAATTCTCTTTTTGACGATTGCTTAAATGTTATAAAAACAAGTAGTTTTATTAGTATTTGGTATATTTTTATAAACAAAATCACATAATGCCTGCTTTGGCTTTGATGGAGCTTTCAAAGAAAGTATAAATGCTGAGAGAATACAGCTATATTCGTTTAAAATGATACATAGTATTTATTTATATTAGATTCTGCAAATGATTATAATACAATATTATCACAACATTTTTCAGCTGGCTTTTTCCAATCATAGTAATATTCTGGAGGTCGTCGATACTGTTCTTCATTCGCTACATTAAAGGAGCATAATTTTTCATTATATAAATCCTGCATTAAAGTTGGAGTACGTTTATGCAAAACCATATGTTGCCGACGACATTTTCGCGGCATATAACCTGTGTCAAAACGTGAATCATGTCTTCGATACACATGACGCAAAGGCGCCAACCACGTGCCCACTGAAATATCCTCACTCACATAAGTCGATAAATGTTTCGAATTATTTGCAATAAATTCGCATAAATGACGTGATATAACATATCCTCCACCAAGTGCATATGTTATATAGCGATTGGATAAATAATAATTCGTTTCACTCCATTGGCCTTTCATTTTAATGTTAGCACGTCCGTTAAAATAGCCCCAGTATAATTCTGGTAATGGTTGAGTGTGATATTCCGTAGCTTTACGAATTAATTTACGATCATACGTAACTAATTCATTCAGCAAATAGTCCAATTTTACATAAGTATCATCGTCAACTTTGAGTAAATAACTAAACTTATAATGATGAGTCAGTGCGTCGATAGCATGCAACATTTTCTCAGTCAAATTTGCATAGACATCTTGTAAACGCGGCAACAAAAGCAAGTCCTTGTAAGTTTTTTGCTCTTTTTCTAAATCAAGGCGCACATTATTGTTTAAGCCTTCCGTACCAATAGCAAAGAAATGTTTAATTTTTATAACGCGTTTATTGTGAGTTGTTTGGACACCATCAAGCCAATCCAGATATATACGCAAACGATATTCTTGTTCTGCAACAGTTTCCATTATTAAATGCCCATTTTTATCAAAATTGGGCACATAAACAAAGTCTTCGGGGTAATATGGATATTTTAAAGGTTGACCTAAGTGCAGCCATGTATCACGCATAATTTGCCGTTTATCAATGTTACTTGGAGCAGTTAACACCAAAATTACAAGAAACAGCTCAGGATGTGGTTCTAATTTAGCTAAGCCACTCTTTAATGTTGGACATTTATCTACAGATGTGAGAATCCTTGTAATAAAACTGCCAAAGAAGAAAGCAATCATTGCCGTAAAAAGTGTCACTAAATTATTCATACGGCGCATGTTAATAAATGGTATTTTGCAATTAGTTTAAATGATTATACCCGCGATTTTCTGAAATATTTAATTTATTTTTATTATAAAAACTTTTACCGAAGATAAAATTTACCGACTTATGAGTCCGTGGTTTTTTTTTCTTATATTTGTGCAAATACTAATTTACATTTTTCTTCATTACTTTCGCCAACATCTTAATTTTAAAACAAAATAGTTGTAATAACAAAATTGAATATCTTATTTTTTATTCATAATTTTGTTTATAATTGTGTTTAATAATAAAAAAACCTCACAAATACAAAAACAAACTAATGTATATAGCGAAACACTCAGCTTTCAAGCTAAACTCATTTGTCCCTTGAGTTGTCAATGCGAACAGCTGTGCTATTACATTGTAGCAGCGCCACCTATTGACAAATAACAGTGACTGCAAAACAATATCACAAAGTAGAAATAATTTAAATTATTTTTTTTTAAGTACCGATTATACTGCAATAAATTGAAAATAGAGTATAAGTTATAGTATTTAATTCAGATATTTATTTTATGCTTTTAATTTTTACTTCCAGAAAATTTGAAGAAGCTATGAATGTCATAACGAATTATGGCGGAAAATTATCGCTACTTACAGTGGGCAGGTAAAATTAACATTTAAATAAAAATTATAACTATATTTATATATATAATTTTGTAAGTACAATTTGTTTTGTTTTATATTTCAAAAATATTTAAAATAGTATATACTAATGCTGTTTGTATTTGATTTTACGAAATATTCGGAGAATCCGATTAATCGGATAGCAATGAAGTCTCCGGAATTGAAAAAAAAATCGGATTCCGAAGTCTTCGAATATCCGAATTCGCTATTATTATTCGCAGTGAAATTATTCGGAGAATTCGTGAGCAAAAGGTAAAGGTGTTTTCGACAAAACACAAATATCGAATATTTGTACTAACAAAGTTGTAAAATTTTTTTTTTTTCGGTTCTTAGTATATCGGTTTTTTAATGTTTGATTTATTGGCTTCTCCATCCAATGTAAAATTGAATTGTGCTTTTTGTATATATAGGACCCTTGTCATATATATATTTATGAGGAAGTACTTCTCTCTAAAAAGCGTTTTAAGCTTTGCTAAAAGTTCAATGTGGTTTTGAAACCTTTGAATTTCTTATACGATAACACAATGGGCCAATAGGTCTAAGTGGATGCTTAGTAACATCGGTATAACCTGGGCTAAAATATGTATATGGGTATATATATATTTTTTTTGTTGACCACCTTTAGATCATTGGTTTTCGATATTTAGCAATATTAAAACCTGTGAATCTCTATCAAAAATTTCTCTATAAAAATTAATCATTGGATTCGAAATTTTCTAACTATTATTCCCTTTTTTATACTTGTCAGAGAACATAAAAATTTTAATTATAATAACTTTTATTAATATTTAAAGGCTTTACATAAATTATTTATTATCACTGAAACGTTACGATGAAGCGGCGAAGCTTTGTTTGCATGTTTTGGGCAATAAAAAGGCATTATGGGAAGAAGAAATCTATAAATTCGTTAAGTGTCAACAACTGCGTTCGGTAAGTGCTTATTTACCCACACTGAAGGAGTGTAAATTGGAAGCGTATGTCTATGAAATGGTTTTATTTGAATTTTTAAAATTCGACCCAAAAGGGTTTCTCAATCTGATTAAAAATTGGCCCTCACATTTATACGATTGCACAGCAGTCATAAATGCAATATACTCCAATTTTCGTAAAGAAAACAGCAATGAGTTACTGGAAGCACTAGCAATATTACATATATATAAAAAAGACTACGAGAATGCATTAAAAATGTATCTCAAGTAAGTATTATTCGATAAACATATGTCAAAAATATTGTTTAAAGAATTAATGGTGTGCAAATTTTTTACAGATTAATGAATAAAGATGTTTTCATACTTATAAGTAAATATGATCTCTACAGTACTATACACAAAAGAATTATACCGCTTATAGAGTTAGACGAAGAATGTGCCTTTAAATTATTAGTCGACAAAGAAAAGATACCGCCTGAAGTAGTTGTTGAGCAGCTGGAACAAAATCAGGAATATTTATTTCGTGTATGTAAAATATATTAAAATATTTCAAAGTTATATATACATAATATTATGTATATATGAGTACAAAGTATTAAAATTTAAATTTACTGTAATAAAAGTGTCACTAATAGAGTTTAACAGAATTAAACCTATTTAAAAATTAGGAATATTTTAGTTATAGCTTGCTCGAGGTGACTGTGCGAGGGGTGTGATCAAATACTTAACAAAATGTTTAATTTAAATTTATATGTATTTTTTTTTTTGGTCGGTCGACGTTTTATTTATAGATTTAAAATATAATATAATAATAATATAATATATTAATTAATCAAGTACTTATACCATCATAGCTTTCAGTTCAATAAAGATTGTTGTATGACCTTTTTAGGGATCAACTCACGCAATGTTTCGATATTGTATGAAATTACAAAAACAAATACCTTGTATAAAAAATGGATTTTATATTTTCGTTTTATAATTATTCAGTGCCAGTTATTTATTATTTTTATATTTATAATGCAAAAGTAGCAGTCATTTGTGCGTTTCAAAATAAAATGCAGAATTTTAAGAGTTATTTCTGCGCAAAAAATTAAAAGCACATAAAATAATTATTTTTGGGGAATGTAATATAAAGCAAATTTAATTATTATTTTTTAAGTTTATTTTAAGTTTATGATAACTATGTACTTAAATATGAGTTTAAACAACTTCTTATTGCTGCTTTTTTTCATAAAAAATTTTGAAATAACTATTATTTTCGATCTCTGACATTGACTATTATAAAACTTGGGATGCTGTGGCGAATGTCAATTAAACGATATTACATATAAATAATTACAAATCTCAGAAGAAAAATAGCTCAAATATAAAAACTAAAATATTATTTAAGATGAGAAAATAGAAAAGAAAACAAAAAGACTTTACGGCTTTGATTAGAATAGAGGACTACAACCATAGACTTTTTTTGTACTAATAATCGAACAATAGGAATTCAGTCTTCTGTATTAAGGTCAAATGTCTCTTGTTAAGCTATTCTTAATGTCGGACGAGGACAGAGGAATAAAAGACTGCAACCACAGACTTTTTTTGTACTAATAATCAAACAATAGAAATTTAATCTTCTGTCAAAGGTCAAATGTCTCTTGTTAAGCTATTAATGTCAGACGAGGAGAGGGCGTATCATACCAGAATCCTTTATCTAGTCCTAAACAAAATCTGCACGGTGTCTTTTTTTAAACAGTGACAACATTCTGTTAACTTATACAGACTGGTTGGTTGGTTGCAGTGGTACCCCATCAGATGACTTTCCATGTACCTCAGTGATTTTTCCCCGTTTTGCTACCACATTCCTCACAAGAACCCCTAAGATAGATGAATACAGACTACATTCATCCCGTCGAAATAAGATAATTAAATAGTTCTTTCATCTTCACCGACGTACGGTCTGAACCTATTTCTTCTGGAAGCTTTGTTCTACTAAGGGATGTTTTTTTTTATGATCACAAGGCATGTTAGCTATCTGTAATGTTGTTTTAGTAGCGACATTTTTTAGCATTTATACATTTATTGATGAGATAGCCATGAACCAAAAAAAAATACACTTAAACTAAGATCTACAAAACGGTTGTGAGGTCAGACATCTAACAAAACACACCCTATTTCGCATCGTTACTCGATACTGCATATCATAACAATTCGCTCGAAGCTTCGAAAAGAAATGCCATGAAATATTAACGCTTCTTAACTCCTTAGAAAGTTGAAAATGAATACAGACTTAGACGGCATGAGCTTTTGCTTCAAAGACAATGTCCATAAGTTACATTTAGCGCAAGTGAGACTTTGTGAGAGACGAAAGCTTTCAAAATAACTTTAAGTATCCTGATATTGATACACAGTATCAGTACTTAATATTTATTTAGGAAAAAAACAAATTCCTGTCCCGTTTTTTTTATCAATCTTAAAATATTACTTATCATATTATAAGTGCATCTTAAATTTTGTCTTTTATGTTTTCAGTATCTTAAGGCGTTAGACAGAGTTGATAAACGCGGTACATTTCATTCCAAACTTGTACAATTATATGCGAAATTTGAACGAGATCAACTTCTACTCTTTTTAAAACGCTCAAATCATTATGCCATACAAGAAGCCCTCGATATATGTAAGCGTAAACTGTTTTATCCAGAAATGGTGTATTTACTAGGTCAAATGGGTAACACAGCCGAAGCCTTAAATATTATTATAGACAAGGTATGTTACAGATATATTGTAACTGATATTTGGTTTGTATTACATTTTTCAATTTTATCTTATCAATTTTATTTGTATTATATTTGCAGATCAAAGATATTGAAATGGCTATTGAGTTCTGTAAAGAACATGATGATTCAGATTTGTGGAATGTTTTAATAGACGAGTCCGTTAATAACCCTGAAATTGTAACAAAATTATTAGATGGAATTGTAGGTAAGTACATACATATATATAAAGGTTATATTGATACATTCAACCTGAGATTATCCTTTTGCGTACAGGTTATGTCAATCCTGAAGCTGTAGTTAATAAAATCAAAGCTGGACAAAAAATTCCTGGTCTACGCTCAGCTGTTGTAAAAATGCTGTGGGAGTATCGTTTACAGGTAATTCATATTCTAATATAATTAATGTTAATTAATTTCTTCAGTAATTGTTTATTTTATTTTTTAAGCTAAAAGTTCTTCAAGGGTGTAGTAAAATGCAATTATGTGACTATTATAAAAATCATGCAGAACTGATACAGCAACAAAGGCGTGGTCTAAGTGTCACATATAACAACAAATGTGAAATATGTCAGCGGTTGCTTGTAAACAAAGATACTATTCCGCACAATGCAGTCATCACATTCAACTGTGGACACTGTTTTCATGAAACCTGCGTGTCCGGTCGCTATATTAGTGAGTGCTGCCATCGATGTAAATATTCAGACGAAGATGATAATAATCAATAGTTTAAGAGAGTCATTATGTACGTTTTAAGTATTTTCCTTTTTTTGCTACCAAACTATTTACACTAACGAACAAATCAAAGTAATATAAGTTTATAAGAAATTTCTGCTTTATATATACACATATATAGAATATTATAATATCAATTCTGTACAAATTTTAAGTACTCAATTAAATAATCCTACATCGTTCTTAGTGTGTTAATAATGCATTAAACTATCAAATATTATTTGAAATATTTCATTTTTCATCTTTACTGTTTTAGATAAACTAACATTTAAAAGTTACAAAAAAAAAGTATTTTTATTGGTGATTGGTATTCTTCTATTAATTTTTGTCAAATTTTTCATTGCTAATCATAATATTTATCAATATTACTTTAACTATTTTTGAGCTACATACTATGTATTTATTGACAAAATAAGCAATATTATTTATTGTACAATACCAGCAAGCAGCCGAAATTCTAATCCTTAAAATGCATTCGTTCTTAAGAAAAACGAATTGATTTTCACAATAATCTAAATACTAAATATTTCTATAAAAGTATAAATCTGCTTAAAACTATTTTTTAGGTAGTATAAAAAACATTTACAAATTATATATTTAACTATAATATATTGTTCATAAAGAACTAAGATTATATTTTTAAGATTATCTTTAAAAGCGTCGGAAAAAATTACTACTAAAAAACATCTCTTGGGCTATACGCGTCTCTTTATTATATGTCAAAATTTTACAATTTAAAGCCCTAGACAAAATATATTTTTAAAAATATTAAATGATAATATATTTATGCATTTATTTAAAATAGATTCTTATTTCTGCATGTTTTCCTCTTTTTTCATATATCAACGCTCCTTTCCTCTAGACTTTTCGGTTAATTAAGATAATTTAAATTTGAATATATATATCAGTGAGAGAGAGAGAGAGACAACGCTTGCACTATTTGAAAGGGTGTGCGGCTGTTTTACAATGTTGTTTATACATGTACTGCTTAAATCAAAAATGTAAAATGTAATAAATGTAATTAGATGAGATGTGTGTTATTAACAATTTTCATAATAAATTAGGGAACAATATATTCACAATATAACATTTAACAATTCATTAACAAAATAATATATTAAATAAATAAAATAAATGATTAATTTTTACATATATAAATATATATATAATTGATCAATATGAAATAAACACAACTTTTTACATACTTCTCACAACATCAAAGCAACTTTTTTCAAACAAAAGCGTCTGTACTCAATAACATACATGTTTATGCAGTGATCAAACAGAATTGAACGCACTTGCAACGTATAAATGTGCGGCTAACTATTGCGCACACCTAGCGATAGAAATTCGTGGGTACTACTGTTAAAAGGAGAGACACGAAATGTAATAGACATTTTTTGTGATTTGAGCTGCAAACTTATGAGGATACCTAACAATTATAGGAATAATAGAGAAGAAAATTTTTTGTGTTTTCATAGACAATTAAATTTAATTGTTTTTGATAAAACTTTAATCTTTAAATATATATATATGTATATGTAATAAATAATAAATAATATTAATTCTCGATGTAAAGATATTTTAGTGAATTTATGTTTTTTATCTAACATTTTACAAATTATGTTAAGGTGTGCGCCGTACACCTCCGCACCTTAGAGCAGTCGTCACTGATATATATATATATATATACATATAAGGTATAAACTTGTTATTAACAAAATGTGTTTATGTTGTTGTTGTTAAATAACGTTTGGTTTATTTTCTTCAACGAAAAATTGGCTTATTATTAAAAAGATACTAAAGAATTATTTCTATTTACAATTTTATACCATATATATATATTTAATTATCTTAATTAGAATTAAATAAAAAGTATAAAACAATATAAAGCAGTAAACTTCCATATAGAATTCACTCTTATAGCGTAAATAAATTTATCAAAATGACAGTCTCTAACTTAAAAAGTATTGGCGTTTATATAGCCCTGGGCTCTATTGCAATATCATTGAGGGACTTAACTCAACCTCGCCAAATATCCTAAATAAACTATCTTGTCTAAATAGTAAACTTCATTGGTTCTATTAAACCAACTAGGCCCTCTCGATTAATTGCTCAAAGTAGCAATTTGATAAAGTTTTAAATCTTTGTTTTTAGAAAGTCAGAAAGTGATATAATAAATGTTCAATTTTTTCTTCCAGACAATTTCTACCAGTTTCTACAGAAGTCTTTAACACAGGCACTTCATCCAATCATGAAAATACCTGTCAAACAATGGCCTTTGTTAACGGACGTGGTTCTTGTTAGTTTTTATATTCCAATCTATTTCTAATATTCCTAATAGAATAGATTTTTATATTCCAGTTACATTTAACTCTAATTGAATTTATGTACAAAATCAGTGTTTTTTAATACAAAACTTATTGTGGATCGGAAAAATATTAAATGTGTATGACAAGAATTTGTAAAATATTAAATATATTTTGCAGACTGATACCAATATATTCGCAGAACTCACATCGTTAAATACCATAATACAATGCGGCCAAGTTAGCACCATCGGTCTGATACTGATCCGCATACAAACGGTTAAACAACACTGTTCTATAGTACCTTTATATAAATAATATTATCACATGTCCTTATCACATTACACATCTGGGCAGTATATCCATAAGTCTTTGTCGTGCTCTGCCTTCAGTGTACACATTTAAACTATAGCTTCATTTATTTATTTTCATAAAAAAATACTAAAGAAAAACTTAAATGAATAAATATTCTTTTAAATATAGACAATTATTTTTTACATATTTATATGTATATGTTAAACAAAACATAAGTAATTAGATTTCTTTTTTGTATATTTATTTAAGATATTTTTTATACAATTTTTTTTTAATTATTTGTGTAAAATAAACAATTATTTATATACGTTATTATAAATACAATTCATAAATATATATAGTTTTATCAATTTCTTTATTGTTGAAAGAGAATTAAAATTAATTTTTTTATATATAAAACCTAAATATTAAATTATAATTCTAAATAAATAGGTGCTTATATTTTTTGCATAAAAACGGTTTATAATTAAAAATTGTGTATTTATTTAGACAAATAGATAGATAGTTAATTGAATTTTAACTAAATTTATGTAGTATCAAACTTCCATATTTTAATGCATTCGTTTTTAATTAAAGTCATATACCATGTTTAATATATAAAACATATTTTGATTAACAAAAACAAATGCTCCAAAGTACATAAACCATACTTATTTAAGAATAAAGTATCTACCGAAAAAGAGTTGGGACTTTCAAACCTATTCTCTAAAATTAATCTAGGGATTATATTTAAGTTTATTATTATCACATAATTACAAGACTGAATGGTAAACAAAGATATATCCGATCCTGGCACCAAAACTTATTTCAGAACCATTTAACAAACAAATTCTTTTATATGAAAGTTGATATTAATTAATTTTATATTGTTCTTATCAGTTGAAATTTTTATTGGAACGTAGTGGGAATCATTAATGATGTACATTCCCTCATTAATTATTACAGCAGCACTTGTATAAGGTTTTTTCTATTCTGCTGAAAAAAGATCAAATTAACAGTTTTTTATGCCAACGGAAGTATTTTTATTAATCGTTTATATTTACCCATGCCAACATCTTCTGAATCACTTTGCGGAGGAAGATCTTCTAATTATGTCACTATTGAAATTTGTTTCCTTATTTTATCCTAAGCTTAATTTTTTTTTTTGATAGAATATCTTATCCGTTTTTTCCACTTCATAATGTATTTGTATTTTTAATTAATTGTTTTATTATTTCTGACATTCTAACTATTTGAATCGTTGTTATCAATATTGGGTATGTTCAGTGAATGTCTTAAAGCAAATTCAGTTAAATTATCGTTTTTGAAAACTGCAGTTGCGAAATGACTAAATAACTAAAATGGAGTTCAAATTTCCATTAAATTTAACTAAACGAGAGTTTAACTGACAAATATAAAACTAGATATAAGTGTATAGGTATAAGATGGTATGCAAAGTAAAATTGTAAATGACATTACAAAAACAAATATGCAAAAATTTTTATCTGTTTCGCAACGCTGTTTGTGTGATGTCATGTGTTTAGTTGTTAGTTTGTCTATTTAACCCATGATTTTATATTTTTTTTTCAAATAGGTCAAATATAACACTACATTCTTATTGTTAGTCCAGATTAGCAAATGACCTATCCGCTTCAGAAATATGTACCGTTCAAAGTCACACTTCCTTGACGATGAAAGGCCTTATGCAATTTCCACAGCACTTTAACAACTCAGCATGAGGTAATACCAATTATTATATTTCTTTACAATTATTATAATATAGAAAAAAAAAATACAATAATGATCCTGTATTTCGCTTCATGTTAGTTAATCTTGGATGGACAGACGGATATTGAAAATTTAATTTATTTCAATATCACAAAATTAAAATACATAAATATATTAATATGAATTATTAAATGCTTATATATAAATAAAATAAATTTTATTTTATAAACTATTTTCAATAAAGTAATATTTTTAGTTAATAATAAGCATAGGTATGGGTGATACCAGCCAGCCATTTTAAAGAAAAATTGTAGTATTAAAAGTTATTCATTCCTGATGAAGTAAAACTGTTTCAAAACTGATATATTGCATATCAGAAAGAATATATATTATATTTAGTTTAAAGTTTATAATTTTACAACAACCACTGAAAGTGTTTAATTTGTTAAAACTTAACACGAAAATTATGATTCTGTATTATGTACATTTTATTAAAATTGTCGCGTCCGTGGCATCGAAATTTCACAAGTTGAAAGACCACTGCTCTCACAAGAGTAGTCATATTGTAGCGTTTGGCATAGAGGTGCAATAGTTCCTCCCTTTTTGAAAATGATACAAATGTGACATGAACTCTCAATTCTCATCGCTACGGCTATATGGTTAACATTTTATTTTTTTGCGTGAAATTAAAAATTTGAATCTGGAAGATATATACTCTGGTGTTACTCTCTCGGAAACACAAAATAAATAGTTTGTACTATATAATAAAGTTAGTTCTTGAAAATGTGTATATAATTTAAGTAAAAATTTTATTAATTTTTCACATAGTATATATAACCAATTGTCTTTAATTTTTATGTTGCGAAGGCGTTTAAGCAATGAGATAACTGTGACAACTCGAAGAGAGCAATGGTTCAGGAAGTATGGATCTATTTTCGACTGTTATGCTAAAAAATCTATATCCCATATATCCTAAAATCGTTTTAGCCATTATAATGTTCTAAGTATTAATAATTTTATGAATTGCGTAGATGTTTCAATTATATAAAAAGATAGCATTTGATTTTGTAATGCATAAAGAAAATTTTTAACAAGAATCTTGAGATATAGAATTAAGTTAATCATTAATCATTTGTAATATTAGTAAGGACACATACAAAGCATATTTATTACGTGCAATCTATAATCTGGTGTTTTATATATACAATTTTTTATTTGTATTGTACATCTTACAGAACTATTTTTCTAATATTTGCTTCTGTGCTACTCGAAAAAGTCATCGTTCTTATAGTCCGCGTAGTGTCTTTATTGTTGGGAAAGCCTAACTAGTTCACTTTGTTTACAAATGGTAAATGGTGTCGTCGATGATGAGTGACTTCTACATGTAGATCTAATAATTTTTAAATAATCACCATTAATTATGTTTTAATTTAAACGCTCAAAGAATTTTAACAAAATTTAAGTCGAAATAACGACTCAAAAATTAAAACAAAAATAAAAAAATTTATAGGTTTCCAGCGTATGTATATTGGTTTAGAATGATGCTTTTGCCTCGAACTTTTCTATAGCATTTAATAAAAGTGTATTGATTATGTATTTGGTAACCATATTGTCTTTAGCTGATCACATATCGTTGGTTTTTGAGGTTTTGGACCCAGTACAATTTCAGCAGCTCCAAATGGCATATATTATAAAGAGAAGAAGAATCAGTTATATTGATTTTATAAGTCATCGCATCAACACAAAGCAGCAATAAATAACATTTTTTTTAGGATATACTTACATACAGGCGGCTTTCTGCACTTGAAATGGTATTCTTGCTTGAGCGGAATTAAAGACACAGATGTTATATTTTTATTTGGAAATTATTTATTGTGTTCTGTTATTTTTCTAAACCGGAAACTTGAAACTTATTCTGGAAAAATTATTTTCTCCAACTAAAACTTTCCTAATTTTGTATTGTTAATATTTTCGAATTGAATTCAAACTTGCTGTGATGAATGAATATGTTGACGGCTACACATATATGTATTCTATAATAAAAATTTTATCATATTTTATATAACATCTTGTAAAGTTATTTTTGCTATTTTTTCAATATCTACTTTTTCTTTCAGAAACGTACGAACCTATGTCCCGAAAACTGACAAGACATAAAACTAAACTGGTATAGTTATCGCAAAACTTTTGAACGCTATTTCGTTAATTCAGCTATGCTCGCTGATATAAATAAGCCGAATAAAGAATTTAACAGGATAATAATTCAATTCATAGCAATTTCTGATAGTATGATTCAGCTACAGAGTTAAAATTTTCTGTGTTATGCTGTAACCTTTGCGAATTGTGCGACCGTCTTTGCAAAAAAAAAAAACTAATCCATGCTCAATCACTCTATCTCCACCCTTCACAAAACGGTACGTTAATAATTAACATAACAAATGAAGCACTCATATAATTGCGATTTCCAAAATAACAGATTGTGAATTAAAGCATCATCCAACCTTCATTGCTCGATAAATATGCGATAAGCTTCCAAAGGATGATCACTGCAGATGCCCAGTATTCCTCAAAGCAACTTTTCCGTTTCCTTGTGCTCAATATAGATGCATTCCCTGAAACACACTAACAGAAACGCAAACTTCGGAAATTAGACAACACCATATAATGTTTCCCTGACGATGTGAGAAATGTAATCAAAAAAATGCTTCGGAAATCCTATAAGCCTTTTGCAAAAGGACTTTTTCAAACTGTTATACAGGCACAGTTTTGGGCACTTAATCTTATTTCTATTTATTTCTATTTTGTCCAACTTTACAATAATTGAATAAATCTAAGACATTTTTTATAAGTGAAATTACAATAAATAAAACATTAATCATTTTGTGTAATAGCTTCTTTTCAATGTCTTCAATATATGTTTAGTCGTTGCATTGGAATCAAGAATAAAAATGGTACCAATGAAACGATCTAACAAAACTAAAATTCTTAATGTATCTATTTACGTGTGTCAGTTTGGAATAAGTTAATTAAAAAATTTTACAAAGTTGACTTAACTTGGCACAACCTGTACTCCAGTTGTGTTCTTTATATGTCACATATTTTTCTACAGCACATAAGTACTTTTATTTATTAATAAACTTCCTTATATGTTTAAACTCACAGGTTCTACACTAATTAAATTCATAACAAAATATTCTCTAAAAACAATGAACAGCGGTATCTGTCATAATTTGCACATTTCAATGATGGTAAAGTAGACCTTTTCATTTGTTAAAATTAATTTTTATTAATTAAAAAACTTTTTCATAATATTATGAATAAATGTAACCTCTGAAAATTAAGCATCAGTTTCATTCTTGAGCTTAGCGAGGAAAGCAGCTTTGTGCTCAGCAATTTTAGTTTTGCGTTGCTCATTTGTGAGTTTCTTAGCATTCCACCGTTTCTTGGTAACTCCAGCTTTAGCTGCCTTCTTTTTGTGGGCAGGATCAGCACGGATAGCTTGGTGGGCTTTCTTGTAGATTTCTTCAAGCTAAAAATAATCAAAAAAAAAATGTATTAAAACTATATGAAACATCAAACATAAAACAATAAATATTAAAAATATAAAGCTAAAAGGCAACAATTTATTCTCATCAGAAAAATAAAATTTTATATGTAAAAAATTTATGCAACCGCAACAGGAAACATGTACCATTAAATGGGTAAAATATTTCGAACATTGGTAACTGAATTTTAATGTGGTCCACTTTCGGCACAACCATCGTCGTGTTAACTAGACATAGTTGTAATTTTAAAATGGACGTACACACTGCCTCTGCTTTATATATTTAACAAATACCACAATACACTTGTTTACTTACATCATCAGCACGGATTCCCAATTTGATGTAGCGACTGAATTGGCGTTTGAAGCTCTCTTCATCCTCTTCTTCTAATGTGCGCATATAATCGGCAACGTGTTGTCCGAAAATATGTGCGCGATGCACTTCAGCGTTGAAGCTCTTCGATTCGGCATCATAGCCGGGAAAGCGTTTCACGGAATGAGGAATATTCAAACCGCCATCAACAGCGCCTTTCATGGCACCGAATACACGTGCACCAGTTGTCGTACGTGCCAAACCAACATCGAGATAGCAACGGAATGCTCCTGGGCCATCATCAATTGGCTCAACGTTGTATTCTTCACCGGTAACTTCAGTACAACCACCATATAGACCGTCCAAACCTAATTTGTTCAAAATACGGCGTGCTACCAACAAACCAGTGCAATAAGCAGCAGCGTAGTTAGTTAAACCAACCTAAAAAAAACATAACAATTTCTGTAACTATTCCAAGAGTGTAATTTTATTTATTTATATATATTTACCTTGATACCGTAGTTTGGCAATTCGTGCGAGTATGCAGCGCATACAACGCGATCTCCTTCAATTCTGGAGTAGGCGATTTGTACGGTAATGTCTTTGTTGGACAGACGTACAATCAAACGGTACTTGGGAGTGTTGTACTTGTTTTTGTCTTGGAAAATCAAGCGCTTCCTAGCATAGTAATCAGTTTTACCTTCTCTACGCCTGCGGAATTTGACTTGATACCGCTTGAAGTACTGCTTGTTCTTGACTACTTTAACGAAACCCTGTACATAAAAACAAACATACAATTATTATTGCTGTTTTTAATCACAATTATTATGCAGCATCTTCACATTAAACTTTATATACATATATTTAACAAATTTATCAATATATGATATTATTAATATCGCACAAATTTATTCACTCAACGCACCATTTTTTTATATTTTTAAAAAAATATTATGAACACCGACGTTCCTATACGCGATGTCTTCACACAAGGTGAAAAAGAAAAGAACGTCAGCGAGATTTGACAAATATTCGGAAGAGTTTCGAGACTCGACAAATAAAAACTTAAGTGTTACCAAATCAATTACAAGGTTGCATTTGTTTGAAAAGTTATGAAAATTTTCAATTACAAAAATTCACATAATAAATGGTATTGATGACAATATATTTTTTTAACTATTGTGTTTATAAAAATATAATATTATCGTTTATGTTTTTACTTTCTTGCTGTTTCCTCCATTGACTGCATTTAATATCATTGTAAACAAATAAAAATTCTACTTCAACAAAGTCTAAAGGAGGTATACCTGTTAATGGCATTCTCATGTGTAATAGCAAAAATTTGTGACATTTGTATGAATATCACGCAAACTGATGGAAATCAAAATATTTTGATTTTTCGACAGTATTGCTTGTTTATCTTCGTATTTAACCAGATTTTTGCCAGTATCCATACAAATTTTATTCTGATTTATTATTATTGAAACAAATTAAAAATATATAGAAAAATTTAAGAAAAAATCATTTTATTATGTATTAAAAAAGTTTTTCTACCATCAATTCCATTTAAAATTGTGCCAATTTATAAATATCAATCAATAAAAATAAAAATTGAAACAATAGCAATATAATATATATTCAATCATAATTTCTAATAGTAGGCCTTTTCGGTGGCTCGCAAGTACGGCAAAAAACAGCAAGTTGCTGGCCTATACTGGCCGCAATGTACGCAAAACAACAACACTATTTTCTCTACCTCGGCCAGCATAGTTATGCTGGCCAATCACATCGGCCAGTAAAAAAAAAAATGTTACCAACGCAATAAGCGAACTATTGTGAACCTTCATTGAAAATTCCAACGAATAGTGCAATCAAATGTCAAAAATTGAGGAAATAAAAATTCAAACAGAATTCAAAAATTTGAAAAATCTTGAAAAGTAACGAAGAAATAATAAGAATGGAGAAATCGTAAGTATTAAGCACATTGAATTTTTTATTATGTTAGTTATTACCAAGTAACATTTATTTTATTTCATTTAATTTGTAGTTTACATACGTAAAATTAATTAAACAAACATAATTTTTGAAGTTTTTCTAAAAAATTTTTTTATAGAAATACACGCAAACTATGGACTACAAAGGAAACGAAGTGTTTTCAAGAGTGCATTCATAACATTTAAAAAATCCGTGAAACAACTTGCATCCCTCGGCCGCTGCAAAACGTTGCTTTCTTCACCCAACATCGACAGTACCTACAAAAATTTACTTATCTTAGTGTTTTATTTTAAAATTTTCAATATTCTTTCTATTCCTTTTAATTCCGTGTTCATTTTAATTTTATAATATTTTTATAAAAATATATTTGATTTATATGCACATATACAAGATTTGCTGTTTGTCAAAACAAAACATTTGACAGATTGCAACAGTGATGCCAATGCCTCGCGTGGCCAACATAGGCCAACATGCATTTTTTGCCGTACTTGCGAGCCACCGAAAAGGCCTAGTATTATCTTTATTTTCTTTTAAAATAAAGGATACAGATGCACAATTAATATTTTAACTAATAGTATATGTGTGTCAGCGATTACTTCATACTGATGCGTATTAAAAAGAATGATGATAGTGAATGTTGTGTGATAGCAAACGCCATCGTACTAATCCAGCAAACATGGAAACAATGCACAATTCAGAACGAACATTTTTCTGTGGATAAATCTCTTTTATGTCACTTATATGTTTTTTACACTTTTTTTTTATAGAAAAATTAATATTAATTAGGTTATAAAAAAACATAAAGTGTTTTACTTAATATTTTTTTCAAAAATTTAAAAATGGTGCAAATTCCTAAAATGTGGTATTTATATTTCGAGCAGTTAATTATATTGTAATTGCTAGAACTGGTGATGATAATAAAAGTATGATGAAGTAATTACTACTGATCTTACAAATAAAACTACTCGATATAAATTACAGTAGTAATGAAGTTTGCAGAAGCAAAAATAAAAAAAAGAAAATTATTTATTAAATATTAAGAGTATTCTCAAATTAGAATAGCATTATTAAATATACATATAAAAGATATATTACCGAATATTGTAATATCTCACGTTAATGTTATTGTACAGGAAAATAAAAATTTTAGCAAATTTTGATTAATTTAAACAAAAATATTATTTTTCAGCATAGTAAAATATTAATAATTTTTTGATACAATTTAATTATGTTTTGTTCAGATATGACCGTATATGCAGAATATTCTTTCAATACAAAAATAAATTTGTAGTGGTAATAAATGTAAAGTTCATATATACGTTATAAATAAAGAAATAATTGAAACGAATTTTCAATGCAACTCTATAAAAATCTATAAAATCTGATTGGAATAAGGATATGAAAAAGTGTTGTTTGGAGTGTTATTAATAAATACGGTAAGACATTCACACACTATTAACTTTGAGACATTGCAAATGTAAACAAAAAACATATGAATAAAAGAAGAATGCATATTCTCTGCTCCGATAAGAATGTTTCTTTAAAACCAGTGTAAACAGTTTTTAACTATATTGGTTAAACCAATTTCAAATGAAGTTAATTACTCTATGAGCACAGTTAGTTAATAATAGTGATACGATTGCTTGCATTAACAAAGTACTTTAACATAAGTACTTAAAATTGTATTATATTGCATCCCTAAAAGGAGAGCAATATGACATTAGTATGGCAAAGTAGTACGTACAACATGTGTGCAATGAATGGGTATAAAAAGCTAACTTTCTTTTAAAACTTAATCTGAGAGAGAATAAGGTGTTCTTTGGTTTGACATTTGTCATATTTGTTATATGTCTTCTCAACGGATGTACGTCGGGAGTTAGTGTTTTTATTAATATTGTTTGTTGTTATTTACGAGATGACAATTTTCGTCTACTAATTTGTTCAGTGATAAAGTAATTATAATTTTTAATTTATGACACTTTTCTATTAAATCAACAAACCGTAATGGGGAACGATATGAGTAAACTGAAAGGACTGGTGATGGATCAAAATGCAATTGAAGTAAATGACTTTTGGACACTTTACAATGCTGAAGCGCCCACGACAGTGAATGAAGATGGGTGGCAATTGTTATCCATATTTCAAGGCAAGTCTATTATGAGCGGTCAAATATGGTTGACTAAGGGAACGATGGAACGCGCTATTAAGGTATTTCCTTCATATTTTATATGCATTATTGTGCTTAATTAAAAAATGTATTGCAGAATTTTATGATATACCGACATCCTTATATACTTAAATATAATTCGACATGGGAAGAAGGGGGACAAAAATATTTGGCTACTGAACGTGTGCGTCCGCTGAGTTCGGTTATAGCAACACAAACTGAAATTCAAGTCTGCCTGGGTCTGCGAACAATATTATGTAGTTTAGTTTTTTTAGTGGAAAGGGTAAATATATGTTGTTACCACCTACACTTACTCATCTAAATATGTATTTCATTTCGTTAAAAAAATTCTTAAATGTGATAAAACTTATGTACTTGTTGCAGGCTATGGCACGTCATCTTAATATTTGTACATCATCCATATATATAACAGATAACGGCTCATGGCGTCTAGCAGGTTTTGAATTTGTGTGGAAAAACAAACAGGTAACAAAGACTCTTCTTGAATTAGTCAATGAATATCGGCATAAGTCCGCTATAGCTCCAGACGAAACAACCGAAAATAATAGTGATTTCATTGAACAATATGCGTTTGCGACAATGTGCGAGGAATTACTTTCGAAATGTACCAAAACTTCTAGTGCTACACCATTTGTGGAAGAATTTCGCGAATATTGCGCCGTACACCTAACTCATGTAAATGCCCAAATGCGTCCGAAGTTGTCAGCCGTTTTATTGCACCCATTTTTTAATCATGAATTTATATTGATTCACTCTTTTATGTTTGAATTACCAGTTAAGAGTGCGCAGGAGAAACAAGAGTTCTTTACTGGTTTAATTGATCGATTACGCTACTTTAATGAGGAAGTAGTTGGAGCTCATTTGGCTGGTGATTTATTATCACGTATGGTATTAACTGATCCCACTGCACAATTGTGCGTAACACCATATGTGCTAAGAACGAAAACCGATCACAGCGCTGCACTTTTTTCGAACTCAACTTATGCTAAGCATTTAATACCACATATATTTAAAATGTTTCGCTTACGCGATGCTCAAATTCGTCTTATTCTTCTTGAATATTTTACGGAATTCGTGCGTCTTTTAACTAAAGCAGATTTAGAAGAATTTATATTACCACATTTACTGGCTGGTATGAATGACGTGAACGATGTACTTGTAGCAAAAACGTTACGTTGCTTGGCTGATCTAGTGCCCATACTTGGTTCGACTAAAGTAATTGGCGGAGAACGTGCACGTCTTTTCTCTGATGGTCGTCCGCAAGCAGCTGTGCCTGATTCTACTACACATTGGGTTGAACCACGTTCAATTACTCCAGTCATTGGTGATAATGAAGACTTCATGGTATCAAGTAGTCCACTACCCGATATAATTGATGTGGAATGTGATCTAATACCAGAGTTAATAACGTCAAATATTGTTTCACAGATGCCTTTGCAACTGAATTCTGATAGTGGTGATGATAATGATCTCAAAAATATAAATGCGTTAGACAAGTCAAACTTATTAAATGACTTGAATGCAATGGTCGAAGAATCTTCTGCAATCACTCTTGAAGACGATGACGTCTGGTCCGATTGGGACAATGATGAACTACAACGGTTAAATGGTGATAATTTACTTAATGGCCATAAATCTATTAATGATGATGCAAGTGTTGAACTAAATGTACCCACCCTAGAAAATCATAAGACACTGCCTCCTTGCCCAACGGATTTAATAGTGCAAGGCATGCTTCGCACTACACTATCAAACTCTACATTACCAACAGCATCATCTTTAAGCGATTCATTGCGCACTACGCAATCAAATACATCCTCCACATACACACGGAAACCAACGAAAATAAATGATGATTTAGATGCATTAGACATTAAAATACAAACATCATCAACGTCATTGCAAGATCAATCATCCGATTTTGATTTTTTTAAAGATATGGAACCTGTAATAGAAAGTCAAAGTACCTCATTGCTAAATGCAGCAACCCACATTCCTGTAAATTCAAAAGCAAAATCCTTACCAGTTACAGCAAAACGTGATGAAGAAGTTGTTATTGATACCAGCCGCTTTGCTGCAATCGCTGAAGTAGTAGCAGACGGTTGGCAAGAAGATGAATCCAATGATTGGGAAACCTAATAGTGATCATATTGTTTGTTATACAATGAACGACTTTAACGCCTTCAATGGAATTTTTTGTATTCCAGAAAAAAAATCGTATTTAAGCATTTCTATTATATAAGTAGAAAAATTAACAGGTTAAATTTTATGAAATAAAAATGTTAATTTGTTTTATTGATAAGAATTATAAGAAAAAAGTTATTAAACTATATCCTAAGCAAATCCTAAGCAAATAAAAAACTGTAATAAAACAATAACTCAGAAAGTATTAATATGTAATTTGTAAAATTATTTAAAAATGGTCTTACAAATAATATTTTAAAGTCTGTTAAATATAACATGTATTATTTATATGCATACTACTTGATTATTATACAAAATAGCTACGACAAATGACGGAAAATGAAGTAATTTTTACTAGACAACTCCACACATTCAAACTTTGGATTTCTCAATTCCTTCATTATCTATGAACTTCTCTGCAATTTTGTCGGACACTATTTTACATTGCGGACCAGGCATCATAATGCAAAGTATTGGCGACAATGTAGCTGGTAATTAAAAGTTATTTGGAATAAGACAATACTTTCTTGCACAATACTTTCTTTCCTTGAAAATCCTTGCTGAACACTATTAGAACTTATTTGGATAGTGAACCAATTAGAAAAATTTACATGTAGTACCAATAAGCTCCTTCTAAAGTTAAAGAGGACACAAGAGCGTAGCACAGTGGTGCTGTAGGCAACAGAAGGTAAGGTAAGGTGCTCTGTGAGACAGCGAGCGTTAAGGCGAAAACCGCCACAAAAACGATTGTCATCTGTGATCTAGATGAGATCGCCTCAATGTCTGATATAGCAAAACTCTTCAATTAAAAGGTATTCGCAATATAGCGGTGGTCGCTAAGACCATTGCGAAAATAACAGTCAGATGCTCTTAATCGGTATTCAGAATTGTTTATTGGCTTGATACAAATGATCTTAAGATCGTGGCACTTAAGACCGAGGCATCCAGTTCATGTACCGTCTCACTCATCCCTGATGTAGAAAGATAAATTAAGAGAGGATATGGTAAAGTAAACTTCTTCCTGACGCAAGCTCTGTCAGGTCATGGCTGTTTCAAGGTCTACCTGTACAAGTTGTACCTAGTACAGGATCCCTGATGTCCTGCTTGCCCAGAATTAGAAGAGAACGCAGAACATATGGTGTTCGCTTGTCCACGATTCGGACACTTGAGAGCGGAATTAGGCGAATCAGTACCGACCGGCAACTTGGTGCCTGTGATGCTAAATTTGGTTAACAATTGGCAGATGGTGATTTCAATTATTTCTTCTCTGATGAGAGAATTGAGAGCTGCTGAACAACTTCGACGGCAGGAAAAGATGCTTCCACAAACGAACAAACTGATGTGACGATCAGATTAACGATTTGAGCTTTTGTTCAAATCGCCTTCATACGTATTACCTAACTGTGGTTCCTGAAGGAGCTTTCCATCCGGACGAGCGAATTTTTAAGGCGGCTGAAATCCCCCACTGATTAGAGTTTCGAGATTTTCTCTCATTCAAAAAAAAAGACTGTTACGTTCGGTCTACAAAATCAACGGTTTTATTTTAAAAGCAATATTAGATATAATGAGTATCAAAACGACTGGTTTTTCCAAATTATCACTTAAATACCCAACATGTTCAATTTTTATTTTTGTTGTATCTTCATGTGCTTTATCTCTGTTGAGGGTTATCCAAAACCAGATTTAAGGAGTATGAAATCAAAACAACTTTCTTGGTTAATTGAGGACTATTTAATCCTTCTTCTACTTTAACTACTTACCTTCTTCTTGTGATACTGCACTTGAGAATTGAACATAATAAAATATGCATTTACTTGGCAAAAAATGTTGCATTATATCTAGTTTCCTAGAGTTTGGAAGATATAATACAATTTAACTTTAAGGCGGTTAGTGATGTTAATACTCTCGATCAGAAAACTTCAAACAGTAGGAAATGTCTACTCCAATTTCTTTATGCTTATGTACAATAGCGTTATTACTATAAGAGGTATATCGGGTATGAGCTCACAGTCTATGGAAACTAAATAGGATTTCTAAATAATTGAAAGACGAATTAAAAACAGCTAGATAATAATTTTTAAGGGTTTATTCTACGTCAGTTCTATTTGATGTTGATCAATTGACTTTCATAACTCGATACGTTAAGGACGAAGATCATTCAAGATATTTTTGCAGTTTTTATCTATGGAAGTGAATAATGCTCAATATGTATTAGATAGATAGTCTTTCGACATGGCTTGATATTGTAATTAGAAATTGACACAGGCTGAACGTATTGCTATAATAGAATAATTAGAATAATTATAGAAAGCTATAACGTAGCAAATACAGCAACTTTTTTCACTTATTGTTTGGGAAAATATTTTAAATATATTTACATTTAAATTTTTTACTTAATCTCCATTTACAAACGTCTATAGTTTATAGAAGGTAAAAAATTATCATTGTAATGTTAATTTGAAAGAATCAATGAATATGTATTAAATATACCATCGTATGTAATGATTTGGGTTGGTTATATATATCAGATCACACTCTCATATTATTCTACGTTTTTAAAACGTATATACTACCATATATTCTATTTCACACCCACAAACCATTAATGCTGTATCTTGAATGTAATCTATTTATCTGAAATTATCTATTTTTTGGCGTAATAGTAAATTAATAACAAATTTTTTTATTAAAGCTCCATAAAAGTATGAATCTGAAGGACATGAATTAACGTTGACTGAAAGAAAAGATTATCTGTGTTTTAGTCACAATCAGTTACCTTAGTCTACTCATTAAACAAAATATATAATAATAGCGCGACTTAAGTGTGAAGTTAAGACTGCGAACAAATATAATTAAGTCTCTAATTTGAGAAAAAACGAAATAAGTCTTTTAACCAGACATAATTTTTCAAAGTTGTGTAAAATCATTCCGGATAACCTCATAAAACTTCAGCCGATACTGTGCTTTTATGCATCACTTTTAAAATATGGAGTGCTTTGCTAGAGCACTATAAATTGAACGTAAAAAGCACCTTTTAATAATAATTCGTGATCTTAATGCCTTAATTAACGTAAATAATAATAGTTTTAGGAAAGTTATTAGTATTTGCATTCAAAATTATAATCTTTTTTTTCGAAATCCTCGTAAATAGCAGTTTAGTGGAACTCTGCTCCCATATTAAGGAAGCTGTAAAACGACCTGGACGTTCGGTGATTGGTATCGTAAATATTTAAATTGGTTATATTTATATCTTATGGTAGTAGCGCAATATTCCCTCCCATGCCCGAAATAAATCATAAATCTAGTACGATAATAGTAAACAATCACTATCTGGTAAGTGGTAAACTATATTACCGACTGTATCCGAAAAAAACAACTACAGGTAAATATATTTTTGACATAATTAAGTTCCAAAGAATCAACGACTAGATTCAATATAAAGTCACTTCAGATGCAGAGGACTAAAACTAGACTAAAGTAGAGTGACTATTAAAGGACTCTTAGGATTTGATTGAAAGTTTATTTTTGATTGAAAGTTGTTAAATTAGGATTGCTAAGGATTTCCTTAAACCATCAAAAATTAAAAAAAAACTTCTTATAAAGTAAGATAAGTAACACGCTTCGATCGGTTGGAATAAGTTGCTTAAATTACTGTAAGTAAAGTTGATATAAAAGAAGTTCCTTCCTTGATATCAGAAAATGTCAAAAAAGGAAATATAGAATTTAAACTTATACCGGCAGAGTGGAAAAAGGTGGGCATTGTTAAGACACCAAAAAAAAAAAAATACTATAACTGAAGAGACATCTCGCTTCTGCTAAGTATAAATAATATATTCACGAGTTGTGATTACTAAGCGAATTATAATTCAGTAATCTGTAGAATTCAATTCGAATCTAAATCTTACATATGTCGACTTCGGAAACGCAAATGTTGCTTTAAAAATCGAAAAGTATGGACAATTTTGTAAGCTTGAAATTTACAGAAAAAATTATAAATATTATTAGGTACAACTACGAGAAAACCTAATACTGAGTATTGCGAAATGGTGAACTTAGTGATCCGTTCTAATCTGTCATTTGTACTGAAATCTGTACCAATTTTGTATCTGCTCAAGCACTTTATCACATAGCTAAGGTGGAGCTAAAAATCAACTAAGCTGTAGAACATATACAAACGATATGAGGTGTAAAGTTATGGGTTGGGCACACAACACAAATATACGTACTAATTAGTGATAAGTGATTGTTTATGTTAGCTGACTATAGTTTAAACTTAGTGGGGGCAATACAGTCCTATAACAGCTGTAGGCTTTCGATTTTTTCCATAACATATGATAGTGGAGACGTGTTAAGCACCGGATTTGTGTGAAAAGACGGCTTTAAAGACGAAATTTTAAATATTGAAAAGCTTTAAATTTGCAATTCTCAACCCATCTGCTGCCCAAAATTGCATCTACTTAAATTTAATGGACATTATTCTGAATATAACAGTTTTTTGAGAACATTCAATAAGCTAATTGGTAAAAATAAGCAATTTGCTGCTTTAACGAAACGCGCCACGAAAAGGCGAAATATGAAGGCATGCTATGAGACTAGGTCTACTCTACTATGACTTTTGTCGAAGCTGTGGTTCTGATGATGAGAAGGAGACCGTGCACCGTGTTCATGTGTCACTACCCTTTTTTAGCTAGAAGAAGTCTAAAAATCTTCGGGGCCTCCTTTCTCACTGACCTGATTAAGCTGTCATCCTATAATATTAGGTACGTGGTCAAATTTGTAGAACTGTCAGGTTGGTCTTCCTTCATCTAATGGGAGAGTCGTCACCTTTTTCGGCGTTGGCTGTATACTGATTTCAATCTATGTACGTACCAATGCTATTCCTGTGATACCCCAATGGGCCATTATTTGAGTTCAAGTGGGCCTTTTGGAAACAATGCCGCTACTCCAACCTACCTACCTACTCTACGAAAAAGCACTAAAACGTTTAGGCGAGCTTTACAGCAACGATTGTAAATTCTTCATGGGTCATATTACTTATATTTTTGAAACCAAATAAGTAGTTAAAACATA